CATCATTACATTTATTGCTTTTAAAATTATTCCCATGAAATATTTCTTTTTTTCCCTTTTGTACATATTGATTTCCCAGATATAGAGCAAGAGCAAGAAATTCTCATCTACTTTTGGTGCTCAACCAGCAATTGAAACCAGTACTTCTTGCAATTTTGAAGGAGTACAAGCAGTCTATTGAAAAGGAAACAAAAGCAGAAATCAAGAGAAAAGGCTCCCTCCAAACTGCCAAAGTTACTATAGGGACTTCTATGAAGAATAGCAAGATATCTCTCTCTGGTAAATCAATAGCTGATAGACCGAATGACAAAAGATATCGGCCAGGATGTGAGCTCAAACTGAATGAGCTTTCATCGTATCGTGTTGAAGAACTTTGTCTTTCCTGTCGTGGTGATTCCTTAAAAAAAAACTATACTTACTAAAGCTCGCTGCCTGTATACAGAGGTCAGTTTTCATGTTGAATACAAAGAGCTTTATAGTATTCAAACTAAATGTGAAAGGGTTAGTAGTGAATTTTCATTATGAATTCATAGAAATCAATTTGTTTGTGGAGATGTTTGGAAGAATACTACACTGCAGTGGTCAAAATCTCTCCACCCTGAATATTTTTATATTAGAGCAGTGCACTTGCAGTGCCTCATATACAAAAACACAATTCCATAAATTAAGCTGTTTTTATCAACTGAGAATGCACAAGTTTTATGTGCTTATTGCTCCTGCAAAGCTGGCAAAGGAGGGTTTTGCAATCATATCTATAGTCTAACTTAAATTATTAGGACAGTTTGTTCTATAGATTAGAATCTATACCTCTACAACTCCCTTGCACATCAAGACCATGTGATTGGACAGTTCCAAAAGTCAGGAAAATGAATGTTCAAAAGCCAACTGTGATGGAGGCTGTCATTAAAAAACCAAGACTGGACAAAAATACAAGTGGAGTTAAATGTAGATCAGCAGAAGAACAGCAAGCTAATATATCAATTTTACTGTCATATCTGAAATGAAGGAAAAAGAGAACTGAATTCTAAAATTCCAAAGTGGGACAGAGATTTCATAATATACTATCAGAACTTGTAGTGCTAGAAAAACAGTCACTGTGATTATATGCACAAAGCATGCATATTTATAATACTTCAATATTAAAAGAGTATGAGCACAGTTTTCAGAATTCTGTCTATTACTCTGATATGATAATGACACTGTTCAAAATGTAATTTGATGGTTTGTTCTTCATATATGACTCAATAATTTCAAGAGCAATTTGTTAATGATCCCATGCCTTTACAATCATCATTCTATAAATAAATTATTGCAATAAATAATTGCAATAAAAATGCTATTGATCAAGATCAGTTATATATAAACAACAACATGATTAATGCTCTCATTAACTATGCAGATAATATTGGATTTTGAAACATTACTAAAAATGCACATGTGGTAAATATTTGATTTGCRGAGCCATGCATGCTAAGAGGTAATGGCCTGTCAAAAATATGAAAATTTGTTATCYTGCTTATGAATCTCTATGSATGGATTCTCAAGGAGGAAATTCTTTGATTAACAATAACTTCTTSAGGAGAAAAMTGCTCCGACCTTCTCTTCKAAGAAAATAGGGATGATCAACTAACATCTATTTCATCCAGCAAATCCCYGATGTTGAATCCTTTGTCTGCCATCACTTCATCCCCCTTAGACCACAGAAGCCGACGGGTTCTGTTCTTTTAAATAACTGTTCTTGTACGATTTTTTTTTCTGGGAAAGGAATTTTGAGCTACATTGTTGACAATCTCACAAGCAAATCTGGCACCCTTCCTTCTTTAAAATAATTGTGTTCCTGGCAAATAAGCTACCTAGAGTGAATAAGAATATATATTTAAATTGGAAGATGTTTTTAACGGTATCTAAAGGACTGAAAGAATTGAAAAAAGCGACTATGAAAGACGATATCAAAGCGAAGACACTTGCACTTAGCGACGTAATATTTTTGTTTGTTTACATATTAAGCCTCGTTTCTATGCAGCGCGCGCTTCCGTGCCCTGGGTTTGTCATTCGGTCTATGAATTTAAAACCAGAGTGTATCAGCTGCTGCTTCTCTTGGAAGAATAGCATATGGAGCAGAYGAGAGGAGAAGGTTGCTATCCATTGTAGCTAATGAGTACCCATATAGATTCCTTCGAGAGTTGTTTGGGTGCTCTCCTAATACCATCACATCAGCCAAAGTACATTGCATTCTTTTTGGTCGTAGAGGAACTCTCCCATCCCACTTGAAGTTCAAAAGACAGTGTGTCAGTTCTTCAGTTCTCGAGGAACTATCAGAGTTCTTTCAAAGGGACAATGTTGCKCGTCCATCAGCCTGTAGAAGTAWAATGATCAACAAGGAGGAGACACCAGTGAAATACTGGAAAGATACCATTAAGAACCTCATCCAGCAGTACCTACTGGAGTACCCTAATGGTGTCAAGAGATCCTACATCTATACACACTTGCCACCAAATTTTAGGTACAATACAATGCTGGCAGTTCTTTGCAACTTGTGTGATGAATATGGACACAAGAACTTTGACAAGATAATTATTCTCATCAATGAATTAGAAAAGATCAAAGGGCAGTCTTTGAAAGGTGTTAAGGAGAACATTCTTAAGTATCAGCAGTATTTGAAGACAAAATTCTCAAAACAGGCATCAAGAAAGTCAACATGCCAAGAACTGTGCATGTCATATGCATTTGTTGAATGCCAAGATTCCCACACCAACTCTTCTGTAGAAGCTATTAGTTTCTATGAAGCACATGAATCACTTGTGAACATTGCTGCCACCACTGATAGCGAAGACGTTAAGAAGAAAATGGTTGATGGCATTGCTGAGGTTCTTGAAGTACATACAAAGTATGTTGGTCACTTGTTGAGAACAAAGCACCAAGCCGACTATTTCAAGTTTATACTTGAGAAACTCCACCCAGGAGAGGCTGTTGTAGTTATTGACTACAAGATGAAGGGAAATACAACGGGATTGGTACGGAAAGCGTGGTATTTCACTTCATGGGTGCTTGATAACCGCCAAGCTTCGCGATGGTACCACAATGAAAGAAGTAATAGACCTATGGAGCGAAGATACTAAACAAGACGCATGGTTCACGCAAAGTGCTCTTGATGTGATCTTCAAGTGGATAGAGTCCAATCTCCCAGGATTCTATGTGTATCTCTTCTCAGGTATTTTTAAACAATGTTTATTTTAGATTGTAAGCAATATTACAATTGTACATGTATAATGTTAGTATTTGTTTTCTCTGCTTTAATCCATTTGTTTTTTTTCTACCCAACTTGTAAGGGGACTGAATGTGTTTGGGCACTCCCATCTCACTAGTTTTTCTACCTACTATCACATACTATCACAATTACTTTAGAATAGAAAATATGCAAAATACTGTTCTTCATAGTGAATGTTCTTTGATTTAAAATTTATACTGAGCTCTATTTTGATGTTCRACATTGTTTATTCTCAGATAATGGCCCACACTACCATAATACAGCATTAATCTTGTACCGAGAAGTGAATGAAAAGTTGAACATCACTCTAATGGAGTGTAACTATTTCGAGGCTGGTGAGGGAAAGYCATCACTGGACACACATTTCGCCCACATCAGCCACAAGATTGTGCGTTGGGTTAGGGTGTGCAATGACCTGGAAACTGGGGACCAACTTGCAAATTTGATTGGGATAAGTTAAGATAAACATATTTAGCTCTGCCCCATAAGCAAGATTTTGTCATATTATAGATATCACATTTTGAACTTTAAAAAAAATCCAACATAGRGTTGGACTGAACTGTTTTGAATTCATTTTTAGCGTAGTCCATGCACAATCTACTATGGAAGATATTTCTTAAGATGCTAAGTATTACGTGTTGCTTTCATTTCATTGATATCTTTTTTTATCATGGACAGTGCMGAGAGACTTAAATATTATAAACACCAAAAGAAGGCACAGCAAAGGCTAGATAAATATCTTTCAATAATAATCGACAGTATGGACCAGGCCAAAAACTGGAATCCCTCACTGGATCCAGTCTTCAAAGGTGCTTGATTAAATGATGCATTTYCAAACTATTTAAAAATCATCAAAAGTTGATCTATGTTGTTAGATCTAATTATAAAGTGTACAAACGAATTTTGTTGCTTTTTTCAGCTCGACGGAGACTGTGAGCACTTCATGAAAACACATGTGACAGGCATTTTATCACATGGGTTAGRCATAGCGATGTGTTTCATCGACTATCTTCGTTGGCCGCAAGATGCGAATGCTACTGTCAATTTTTTGACCTCTTGTTTTCGACAAATTATGAAAACAGTGAGCTACTCAATTAATTCTCTTTGTCAGATRTATGTCACACGTTGCTCTCTTCAGACTGATGAAATATATTCTTTGAATTAATTTTAGAAAAAAAGACTACCASCAACTCTCTATTTGCAACTTGATAATTGTTATCGAGATTGTAAAAAATGTTTACATCCTTGGCTTTTGCTCTTTATTAGTAAAAGCCAAGGTTTTCCAAAAGGTAAGTTAGTGCTTTACTCTGCTAAAACATGTCCATATACTCGGCTCTGTAATTGTTTTTTGTGACTGTAGGTCCGTTTATCCTATCTCATGGTCGGACATACACACGAAGACATCGACCAGGTAGTAGAATAATATGATTATTCCCGACGTACATGTATATGATTCACAAGATTCATAATCAAAACGCTAAATCACTTGTTTGCACACAGATGTTTAGCAGGATTTCAGTGGCTCTGAATAAAAGCAAAGCAGTCACAAGACCACAATTAGAGGGGGTTATTCAGGGAGCGTTCACTCCTAGTCCAACGACAGTTTTCGTAGAAAATGTCTACGATGTCAAGTCTTGGATTCGCCCTTACATTGCAACTTTCAAAAATCACAGTCATCCCCATGCATTCCGGTTCAAACTAAATGAACTAGGACAGGTGGAAATGACTTATAGAGACTGGGCGAATTCGAAAGCAAAGGAGTGGCTTCCCCAGCCCCCCTCATATCAGCCTGCGAACTCTACCGAARGGAAACCCGGCAATATTAAAACCAGATTTAGCGAAATGCCCTACGGTAGAGAGAATGAGAGAGGCTGTTGGAAAGGTCTGTATATTCTACAATAAACTCAATACATTTAGTTGAAGAATTTGACTTTTTGATTTTATCCCGGCAGATGAAGCCACGCATGACCGGAGAAGAGATAGGGTGGTGGGAAAGGACAATAGAAGAAGAGCAAGCAAAGATAAAACAGTGGAATGAACTAAGCGACTGCCAGTATAAGGAAGCAGGAAAGGCATTCGACTTGTTGTCCTTTCGCTATCACCCACCCGACCCAGATCCAGAAACGTATGACGAAGAATATGAAAAACGGAGAGAAATGCTTCAGAAGCAGATCGATAAGAGAAACACCTTCAAACCAGTAAATAAAACTATTTATTGTTATTTTCCTTACTTCACTGTGATTAATGTACAGATGAAATATCTTTTTCTCAGGTTTTATTGGTCAAGAAGGCAAAGTAGCTGCGCTGAATTGTACTCAAAAGATACCATAACGCAAGTATAAGCAAAAATCGATCGAGAACTCCTATTTCTTGAGTTAAATGTGTCTTTATTCACTTTTCTATTTTTCTATACAAAAAAAGAAACAAACGCAAAAAACAACAACTGTCGTGATGAGAAGTATTTGGGTAATAAAACGTAAGAGGGCATTGTCTTGAACTAATTACGAGCTCAAAATTCGTTTTGACTTGTCGTGATAAGATAGGTAGATTGCTTTGTGCTTATGCTTTCGTTTCAAATGGGAAGAAGGCTATAATCCTATATAGTGAAACATTTCAGTATGTTACAAAGCTCTCATGCATTGTGCAACTTTGGGAACGAGCCGATACTCAAGTGGACAAAACATC